CCCCAAAACCCCAAAACCCCAAAACCCCAAAGGTTTAATTTTTAAGAGTTGGTAGGTCTGAGATATATAATCCATTAAAAGTGAGATCTGTCGTTAATTGATTCTGAATAGAGTTGAATTTTATGTTTTAACAGTCATATTTGTGATTTTATACAATATATTTATTAACAACAATAAATAACCCGAACCTTAAAGTACTACTTATTGTATTGAGCCTTTAAACAATAATGAATTAAGAATTAATGAAGAATCAAGCATCTAAAAGAGATCCTAAAAGTTAAGAAGGTCTCTCCTAGAAGTCACTTCGCAAGTATCATCATGAAATGAAAAGCGCTCATGGTGTTAAGTCACTTCAAACCCCTGCGACCTACATCCTAGCCATAATTGCGGCTTTGGTCATTTATCACATTGATTAAAGATATAGAATCGACAGATTAGTTGAGAACTCAAAGCAAAAGGTTAATGATATTAAAGAAGAAATCAAGCAAATAACTAACGAAGATAATGAGCCAACTCAAATTTCAGGAATATTGATCTTATCAATCCTTATTTTATCAGCTGTCTTGGCGATAAAGAGAGTCCAAAATAAGCGCCAAATTCCTTAAGTTGATGAATCATCTGAGGAAGTTGAAAATGTGCTAATTTAGAGATAGATGGAGTCTCAATCCATCTTTTGCGAGTAGATCAGCCTAGAAGAATACAATTACTAGGCTTCATTTGGAACAAAGAAGGAGATCTTAAAACTTGTTTAATCAGATTAATACAGAGAAGCCATGATTGAGAAAGGTAATAACATCGAAAAATGGAACTGGCAAGCTCAAGACAGAGCTGAAGGTATTTACCCCTCCGATGAGGCAGACATTCTAGATGAAAACATCAACCATATGAATAGACTGTAGGATGGTGAGGCAGTAATCTATGATCCATCTCAAAAATAGAGAGTTCAATTGAAAGCAAATCCCTAAAGCTTTGCTAAGTAGGCTAGTATCATGAAATAATAAAATTCAACTCATACTCAATCCATCAGAAAAGAGCTTTCATAGTCAAAAATCTAGATAGTTGAGGAAAAGCCAGTGCATTCTGACTCTGTTACTAAATACCTGAACTTTGATACCCCAAGTCTTAAAAATAAGAAAATTCCCACCCCTTCAACCAAATAATATACCCTTAGATCAAGTCCACATATATTGAGAAGTACTTATCAAGAACTAAAATGAAGGGAGGAAGTTGAATCTAGTTGATGAACAATCAGAACAATAATCAAACTTAAACTCTGTAGATATATAACTCTTATTCTATGCTTTTTCCTTGAAACTATAAATGAGAACTAACTTCAATTTATTTATGTCAAAAAATTTAACTTTTTATATCACCTGCTTAAACTTTGCTTTTAAGTTTACAATGGTTATTTAATCATCATGGGGTTTTGGGGTTTTGGGGTTTTGGGG